AAAGTTTGTATCTCTAGTTGAAGAATTTGATACTGCGATGAAACATTTAAATTTCAGTATGGCAATTGATTTTGAAACACAGCGAAAGTTGGATTACGATGATTTAAAATTAAGTTTAAATGAAATGAAAGAGGTTGATTTTGAAATACAGCGAAAGTTGGATTACGATGATTTAAAATTTAGTTTAAATGAAATGAAAGAGGTTACTTAATTTAAAAAATTATATATGATATTCGTATACTTGTATTATTTTATATATTTTATGTGATCTCATTAATGTTTTATATCTACAGATTTTGAAAATTTCTGAAGTAATTTCAGAGGTTAATATAATGAAGTCGCAGGACACTTCCGTATTTAAGCAAATAGACCCAAAATATTTAACTCCATGTTCTATGGGCCCAGATGAACGAAATTCTTCATATTTGTGTAAAAGAATGTATAAATTTGAAGAAGTTGGTTGTAAAGGATTTAATATCAAAGATGATCAAAAAAAGAAACAAAAACTTCAAAGACATTTAGCAATCTTGGAAAGATTAAGTGAATGTAGGTATATTCTTAAGTTTTATGGATTATCCCACATTGAAGGAAAAGATGTTCAAGTGTTTCAATGGGCAGAGCTTGGATCCCTAAGAGACGTTTATACTGCAAATGATATTGGATGGGTAACAAAAGTATCTATAGCTCGTGATATATGTCGTGGCCTTGCCTTTCTTCAATCTGTAGATATTTTACACCAAGACATTCGTGGTGAAAATATTATGGTATGAATCATGCATCTTTTAAGGTTTTTATATTGAATTCAATTAATTTAAATTTAATCAATTCGTGAATTAATTCATGAAAAAATTTAGATGACGGCAGGTTATAATCCTAAGATTGCAAATTTTGATGTAGCTCGTAAGCAAAATGAAATAACTAATGAAATCCCTGATCTTAAAGCTGTACGTTGGATGGCTCCTGAAAAAATAAAAGGAGAAAATTATACTACACATTGTGAAATTTTCAGGTAATTTTATATATTAAATTGTAAAATGTTCATAATGCATATACTGTATAAATAATTTTATTTTTAAATTTTATGTTAAGCTTCGGAATGTTGCTTTGGGAACTCACTTATGAAAAAGAACCTTATCAGGGTATTGATAGCTTTGAAGAAATTAAAGATCTTGTTACAAAAGGTTTTAGAGAAAAATCTCTTTTGCTCCTACACAGGATCCAAAAATAAAAGAAATTCAACAAACATTTGAATATATTATGAAAACAAGTATGTTTATGTCTTTAACTTGTACGTTTAAATTACTTTCCGTATATTCATTATTATTTCTTTATTTTCAAAGCTTGGAATGATGAGCCTTATCACCGAATGGGTGTGGGTAAATTATATGTGCATCTAGAATCTTTAGCTGAAAAATATGTTAAACCTGGTGACTTGCCCCGAATATATAATAATAATGAAATAGATTTTGATGGATCTAAATTTTATGACGACGGTGGTGACATGGATTTCATCAAAAAGCAAATGTCTGAATTGAATTTTAACATTTGTGACGTTGAGATAAAAGAGCCCACACCTCTTAGTGAAGGTTTAAAAATTCATCAATCAATAAATAAAGGTCCTCAGGAAGAAATAATGAAAATGAGAAAACAGGCTTGGGAATGCTTTGTAGAAAATGCAAAACTAGGAAACCCTGTTGCAAAATATTGGAAAGGTTATTATTTATGGGAAGGTTATTATGTTGATAAAAACAAAGAAGAAGCAATGAAGCTTTTTAAAGATGCTGCTGATAATAATGTTCCTGGCGCTCAATTACATTATGCTTTTTCTCTTTTACCGGATTCTTCTAATTCTATAACAAAACAAACTCAAGAAGAGTTTATTAAATACCTTACATTAGCTGCTGATAATTGTAATCCTTATGCATTATTTCACCTAGGCGATATGTATTTAAATGGAAAACTTCATGTTAAACCAGATCGTGAACTTGCTATTAGAAAGTTGAAATTGGCTACCTCTCTTGGAAACCCCAATGCAAAAGCATTGTTAAAAAAAGAGGGTGAAATAATTGAATAATAGATTGTTTTCAATATACACGCCATTCATATACTTTTGTAAATGTTTAAATCATAAAACTTATTTATTTATCAACTTAATTTTATTACCAATATATTCTATAAAAATTATTTATTTATCAACTTAATTTTATTACCAATATATTCTATAAAAAATTATATATTTAAGTTAGAACTTGTCATGAATACACAATAGTCACTCTTAATCTTTAGCATAAATGCAGATGACGATATATTTATTGGATCACATTAGAGTTGGTACTCGAAACGAAACCTACCCGAAACTAGTTTCGGAAAGCTCTAATCCGAAACTAGTTTCGGATTTTT